AGAAATGCCTAATTCAATCCGCTTTGAACCAGATTTGGCAAAATTTTCCATGCTTTTCAACAAAAGCAGATACAAAATATATAACCCAATTCCATTCTAGCAGTCTTTCATTCACTCGAAGAGTATTTCGAAGTCCAGTACTTCTTGATCTCCTCTGCCGTTCTTCCTGGAATTCTCCCAGCAATCAGAGACCACCTATACAGAAATTTTTGCGCATTCAGATTTCTTAAATTATAAAGGTGAAGAAGTTTAGCTGAATCTGTATCCTCTAATTTTCAAACAATGATAACTATAGGATTAAAGTCAGTGCTTGACCTTGCAATAGCTAAGCACTAACTTCTCCTCTCCAATAGAAAAATTATAATTAAAATTAAAGATATATTTAAGCAGTTTAGAAAGAAATCCACCTCTCACCAACCAAATTGAACATCATGGTTATAAGGGTTTCCTCATCTTCTGAGAATTTATCAAGCTTGGAATCTTGGATGGAATCCTCTGCAATCCAAAAACGGTCTAAGCAAGAGAAAACAAACATCATACAAAATCCCATAAAAAGGAAAGCACAATTTGAAAAAGGGTACCTCTAGAATCCACAGGAGAATCAGTAGAGGATTGATCTGAGTCAGCCATTGTTGACGAGGGTTGAGACGTGGGATATTTGTCTAGTGGGACTGTTTGAGCTGGAATTGAATGCACTTGATAAGCAATATTAATAGAGAGAGCAAAAGTCTTCCATTTGGATAACAGAGAAGAATGGTAGTTGACACCGGAGGTTGAGGAGGTCCAACTTTGATGGGTAGTTGAAACCGTTTGGTTGGTGCTTGGTTTAGAAAAAGATTTGGTGTATGTACTCATATCTTTATATTGTGTCTTTTTGTACATCACTTGGGAGAAAGGCTAGAATATCACAGTAACATGGTATTCCACCAAATAGAAAATTAATACTTTATAAATTTAAATTATGGTTTTTTTAATGTTTAAAATATTTAAATTAACTTTCATACAACTCTATACTAATTTCTTTTTTATGATTTTAAAGATACAGGGCACATAATATTTCTATTTCAATCTTATGTATTTAAAAAAATTAATTTCTTTATGCATTAAAAAAATATATACTTACTATTGGAGTTTTAAATTATGGTGTTCATCTTGATCTTCTAGCTTTTATCAACCTAAGCAAAGCAAAGTTCAAAAAAAAAAAAAAAAAAAAAAAAAAAAGAAAGTTACACATTGTCCATTTGCTTGATTAATTAAATAGGAAATGATGAGAAGTGTGGTGTACCATGATTTGGTGTGAGAGAGATACACTGAAATGATACCTGTTTAAGACATTGTTTGGTGGATGTAATAAATAAAAAATTATCATTGGACATGCTTTAGCAGTAATTAAGAAAATGCCAAACGGTAACGCTGCGTTTAAGATAATGCTGCATAAAAAATAGAAAAACGTAACCATCTCCGCAATGACATTTTGGATTTTGAGTATGTGAGAACCACGCGCATTCACTGTGAGGACTACACCTTTCGGTGTATTATCAATACTGGAATTGCTTAATAGTAATTGTGA